AGCAAGATAATTAGTGAAAATCAAGAAGTACTAGATAGCTGTTTCAACCTAGCATGTGATTAATACTCAGCACTTGGCATTTATTACTCGTCCTAGATTGAAACCCAGAACCATGAGGTCTTTTCCGGAAGGCTTAACCCTCAGACTACAGATTTATCACCTAATAGTTTATATTTTTAATGTCGGTTAGCTAAAGTTGATAAGTTATATACAGGTACAAAATTTAGCGGTAACCACAAACCCTGATTGTAAAAAGTTATTGACCTAATCCATTACAATGATGATAAGACTAATCTCTTACAAACTAGATAACTATTTATAAAAAGACGCAAAGAAAATACTCAACTGAAAGGTTGTTTCATAATTAGGCAGTTCGTGGATATCGGTTCGATTTGAAGATAACTTTCTTTACCATCTGACATCAACAAGAAGAAAAGTGAAAAAGTAGAACCAGTGTCTTATTGTAGTTTGAGATTACTGCTCATTTATACGCCGCTTCACAAATCAAAACAAATGCAGGAAGTTCAATTTCCGCAATGATTAGAATATCCTTAAAACACTAAGTTGAAATTCACTAGTTTGCATTTCTGAATTTAATCAATTCGCCATATTATATGACGATTATTTAGTGCCATAAGTGACAATTGTATCATTAATGACTGCACCACCAGTCATAACCTTCAGTTGGAACCAAGGGGATTAATTTGAAAGCTATTTACTAGGAGTCTAAGTGAATATTACAACTATCATTTATTGTGATAGATTACTAAACAGGGTGTGAGTATATTAGGATTTTGTGTAGTCATTTGAACTCCTGAGCGCCATGCTATATTTATATACATACCAATACATGAATAAGATTAACCAATGTTTCGTTAGAAGATAAATCGGATCCGATCACGTAAGGTACCCAAAATCTTTACTAAGCTATTTGATTTAGCATAACGGGTCACAGTACAGTGTTCGTTGGTATAAAGTGTTGAGAAGTAGTAAGATGTCTTCCATAAACAGCGGTATGAGGTCCAAAGAGAGAGAAAGAATATGAATTCTTCCATGTTTTATATTATTTCACACCAGCACAATATAACACACCGCAAAGATGGAGAGTATATGAACCCTACAATCAGTAGATAGAGGTTTCACTTAGGCTTCAAGTTGAGAACATTCAAGCAAAACCTTTAGTACATATGTAGCAAAATGAAGTTATTCGTAACTGAAAAAGGCTGATGAAACTTTCACAATAACTAAAATGACAAATAATTTTAGTAATTCCACTTCTCATGATCAAACTAAGCAGCAATGAACAACTGGTACTGAATCAATATTTGTATGTGAAACTAGAAATGAATCTTATGCTTACAATTAAGATTTTTATTTTAACAATATAATAACGGGCAAAAACTGCTTTCACAAATATAATGAGTTTAATAACACGCATAATAAGTACTTAAGCTAAACTAAATAATATACGTGCTCCTAAGGCAGATTGTATGTCAAAGAACTTAATATCATTCATTGAGTTATAAGGTGTTTAGTGAACCTAGAGTATGTTCTCCCTTTACTTTCACTTTAAATCTCGATCCTACGTTTATCAAGTTTGTAAACAGAAGGACAAAATAGCTTTGCAATATAGCTAATGTCAGTTTATCATGACAACCTTAACCCTAACTTGTAAAGCCATCTCAAAAGTCTAACTTAACTCTTAATACATAAGCCTAACCATTTTTCATTGTCGCTGGTGTTAGTTGGTGACCCTGAACCATAAAACCAACCTGATTCCTAATGTGCAAAACTCTATTTTTTTACTGTGAAGAATAATTCGACGTACGAGGGTCGATTATTAAGATAGAAGTTATTATTCTACTGTTATAATATGGCTTTTTGCTGTTAAATGGTTTGTAACTAGGCAGCGTTACCTGATTGGCTGATAGGCAGCTCAATGTTATCAGTATATTATAATTGCGCTAATTAGTCACTGAAATAGGCTGTCACTATGTAAATCGAACTGGTGATTAAAGTATCTCAATTGTTTAAAGTTGGTTATTTAACTGCTTAAAAATCGTAAAGCTCTACACTCAACCTTGATAATACTTGATCAACAACTCCAACGAAGATATCTAGGTATTTACTAATAATCATGTACATATAAAAATTGGATAACTACTAAGACGAAGAACCGTTTAGCCTAGTAGTAAATTTATAAGATTAACCACCTGTATGCCTTTAGTAGGGTAAGCACTAAGTGATTGATTAAACATTTTATGCTATCGAGTTGTACTCGTATGCAGAATAGAAAGCAGTCTCACTATAGAATTATTATTTAAAAGGTAGGCTACCATCTAAAAAACACCATAGACGGAATATGTCATGAACCGCTGTCTACGAAGAAATTAGTAACAAAAAAAAATATTTTACTACCCTACACCCCCATATGGACTTAAAATCTAATGATCACATCAGTTGAATTAAAATTTATTTCACACTACGATGCTAAAATTTCACAACAAGCAAACAAACTTAAAGCCACTAAAAGGATTACTGAATAACATGATTTCAACGCCAACTGACTGTCGATGGATATGTACAGATGTACATTGTTCAGAAAGCAACTACCCAACAAATAATTACTGTAAATATTAAGTTGGTAAAAAGTAAGTCGATGATTCATAACACTAAGCCTATTCTACAATGTGTATTACGACAAAAACCCACAATCAACATGTAGGAAGAAGTAATTAAGCATTCAAAATAAAAGAGATTTTGTTTAAACACCTTCATAGTATAGTTACAGTGTCTATGGTCAAGCAACAAATTCGCCGCTTTGAACATGACTTAATAAAATGATTCCAAATATCGCATTGCTAATAGATAGATAATAAAAATTCAGTCCTGAAATATTTTGATGAACGGATCATGTTATTAAATAGACTTTGGAAAAAGCTTTGAAATCGTTTAGATACAAATGAAGGTTGAAACATGTAGATAACTGATAACATGGATGACAGACCAGTAAATGTCAAGCCATAGTCTACAACGACAGACAGAATAGATATCATAAACAGAGAATAAAATGTTATTCATCTTATTGAGATCTATGTCAGACAACCATTGAAAATCTGGAAGCATTGGACAGCGGTTCCACCTTAGTATCGGACTCCTCAACAGTGCACTTTCACAAACCCGCGACTGGAAGTCGAAAGTAGGGCCTTCAGTCTCGTGCGTGAACTCTTAACCCCTAGACCACTGAGCCGATGCCCAATAATGCAGAAGTTTAACGCCAGGCAACTAATGATATTGCTCGACTATCTTCCATTGTATTTGGTGGGTGACTTTCTAAAAATTGACACGGTTCATTCCCTGTATATGACTTCTATTATTATGTTAAATGTGAGGATGTTAATTTGCTTAAGTTAACTTAATATAGTCAGTAATGTTGAAGTACACTTACTGGAATCGGTCACATATAAGACGTGGAAACCACTTAGAAATCAAGTATTGACAATATTTCACTAACCACTTCTATCACAAACACACAAAACCGTACACATCTGCCAATCCATTGTCCCACAAAATTTCAGTAGTTTCTCGATTTTCATTATCACAAATGTAAATTACGGATAACATAAATTGGTTAAGTTTACATGAAACCATTTACAGACCGATAAAACGACCGATTCAGTAAGTTTTAATGAGATACTAAATGGAATTATTGCGATACCTAACATATCAGCATAAATTATAATGCCTGGTCGAAATAGATATCGGACTGAATGTCAATACACATAAGTAACTTACACCTACGTCTACATAATGAACAAGTCATTCATTAAAGCATTTAGAATATAAAAAGTGATGCATTGTTTTAAGTGTTATTCAGTAAAATATGTACAAATTTATTTTTTAATAAACTTGATATATTAAGGGTATGAATAAAGTATGTTAGCCAAGTTTTAAATGAATTGGTCATTGGCTGTGACCTACGAAATGTTACAGTCACTTATGCTTTATAAATGAGATGTAGTCATGTTTATTTTGTCTTAATAGTCTTGTACGTAAGTGTGCCATTATTACTAATAAGAAAATCTTAATTTACTGATCAGCTGTTAAGTCTTTTAATATAAGTTAAATGGGAAAAGATACCAATGAATCGATCATAATCAGTTGTAAGTCTACTAGCATATTTAATCAATTGAATATTAGTTTTCAAATAATGAATACGATACCAATAGAATAGTCTTAAATTCTATCACCACTACTATTACTACTCTATCGCTTCTGTTGACATGTAAAAATTTCAAAAGTTAGCTCAACAATCAGCGAAATCTCCTTTTTATGTGAACACAAACATTCAGATGAATAATATCACTAGTCATTCACTAACAAAAATATGCACGAAATAAAAAAGATAACCCAATATGTGAACAATACTTTGTATTCATCATATATATATATATATATATATATATATATATATATATATATATATATATATTACACTAATATTGTCATTACCATTATTGATATTATTATTATGAACAACAAGAATGATTATGAAGAAAACAATAAGTAATGCAGGTCAATTAAAATGTTAATATGAATTTAAAACGAAAAAAGCTTATATATTCAACTTCAGAAAAAAATTGACAGAATGCAAATAAACAAGGATAGTAATAACCATAAAAACAACAAGTGGGAGAAAGGAAAATAAAGGAAAGAAAAGTGGGAAACAACCACTGAAAACTTCCCTTTTCAGTTGTTTACTTGGCATAAATTAAAGTGCCGAATTCTCGTCTACAATTTATCTCTTAATCTACTACGAATGTTGGGTTTTGTTTATTCGAGACAAAAAAAGAAATGCAGAGACCATGGGAGAAAAAGGAGGTGAGGTAAAAGAGTAAATCTCAGTTGTTATCGTCAGATAAATTATGTGAAACCAGACATTCCTCATATTATATCTATTTATTCAACAGATTGTTTACAATAGTAACAACAGTCAAACGGTATATGAATAATTTTTCTCTATTTCACAAAGATAAATTGATAATGATAGTTTTTACTCTGTTACAGCTGATGGTTAGGCAAAATTGAATCATTTAATAGAACAGTTCTAAAATGACATTTCCTCTACTGAAGAAGGAATAGAACGAGTAATCATATCACCCTCAGTCGATTTATCCTGCATAACAGAAATGGAACTTTTACTTAGAAATACTACTACCGCTACTGTTACATGAAATAATTGATCGTTAAAAATTACTGAACTGAATCAAAAACAACGGTTACAGTGAGTCGTGTGTGTGAACGTTTGGTTGTGATTGAAAAATTGAAAAAAATTCCGTGGTTTATAACCAACATGTGTTAACAGCAATGGAGAGAAACACAAAATAGAATCAATCACATTGAGAGCAAGGTGGAAATCAAAAATCTTCAACATCGATAAGTTAGTAAGGTCGAAAATGAATTAAATTTTCCTTTGTGAGGACAGAATATTAATGTATATAGCGCATGATGACTAGGTTGGTTGTTGTTCAACAGTATCCACATTTTGTACAGTTGTGAATAAACAGAATAGAAAATTTCAAAACTAAATATTAAATATTGAAACAGAAAATAAAGAGTTGACTTTGATAAATTTTTATTTGTTTGTTATGGAAATAATCAAATATATAAGAGGACTGAACAATAATTGCTTTTTCTTTTCTCTGAGAATTATCATGTACAATCCTGAAAGTGAATAGTTTTTAGGGTGAAATTGTTAGGTACAGGAACCTCCACCAGTAGGTGATGGGGGATCGCGTTGTAAATATTCATGTTGTGGATTAGATGCAACGATTTGTTCATCTTCGGTGAGCAAAAGAGATCCAGCATATGCTTTTAAAGCGTCATCCATAGCTGCAAGAAATTCTGCACGGTGAGGATACGACATTGATAATAGACCGCGAAAAGCAGAATCGAAATGACTGTCTACTGTTTCACATCTACGGGAATGATTACTGTCAATACGAGCAGAGGTAGTTAATGTTGTAAAACGACGACTAGGGGCACTTGAACGATGAAGAGTGGGAACTGAAGAACTTGAAACGGATGTTATCAATCTTGCATGATTGGAATATAGAAATGAAGGAAGGTATCGAGTTAAATCTGTATGGCGACCAAGGAGGATATTTGGTGCTACAGTTCCAGTAGGTGTAAGTGAAGCAGTATTTGAAGAATAAATAGAATGATTTCGACCAGAGGAACCACCATTTGAACCCCTACTTTCAGAAAAGCCACTATCGTTTTGTGCTCCAACTGATGCTGTTTGGCTACTGCGTGTGTTAGGTCGGCGAGAAGGAACAGCTGATGAACCGTCTTCTTCATCATCGTCGTTGTCAAAATCATCGTCGTCATCCTCAGAATTACAACGTCCTTCTTCATCTTCCTCTTCCTCTTCATCATCTTCTTTATTGACTTCCTCTACTGAAGAGTTGCACTCATCAGTGTGTTCAGAAGACTGACTTTCTGATACGGTTCCGTCAACTCGCCGTCGTCTTCGATGACGAGCTCTACGTCTGATTGCATTATGACCATTGATTTCGTTGCCACGAGAGCCAGAAGAAGTATTGTCGTCAGGATCATTTATTTGGTCACCATTTGATTGTGAAGGTGAAGATCTTAAACGTTTTCCACTTTGATGCTCTATAGAAGCTTCTAGAGCTGCGACCTCCTCGTCTGCTTTAGCTATCTGTGCGGGTGTCAAGTGATAGAGTAGAAAGTGGCCAAGAGTTTGGGCTTCGACAAAGTTTTTATCTTGGAAACAACGCTGCAATGCGCGAAGACCGTGTTCGAGCGCTGGTTGAGCTGGGAGATCATGGGCCTCTGTGAAAGGTGAATAATTGAAGGAAAACAATATCTTAGTATAAGAAAAATTTCACAGTTAATGATGATGCAACTGATTAAATTTCCAAAAATTCGGAAAATGGTTAAACATCTTTAAAAATAAATTCCTTACCAAATAATAACCTGGTTAATTATTGGAAAATCAAAGACCACAATTAAAATAACGATATTGTTCACTTTGAGAAAGTCTACGTTAATCAATGAATCCGTTAGATTTATCGAATGCAAACAAGCCGCCAAAGAATGGAATTTTAACATTAATCAAATATCCATAGCACTCATTCTTTGAACAACAATATAATAGTCACTAGAGACTTCCTCTAGGATAGATTTCAAAACGTTTTAGTAAAAACAGGAACCACTATATTCCAACTTAATGGACTAAAAATGTCGTAATCATCACTAGGCCTTAAAAGTCCTGAGCTTGATCCCATGTAATACAGTTGGTGGGAAAGGATTGATGAATCCTACCCTAAAACAAAATAGTGGTAAAATACGTTCTCTTGTTTTCAATGAATGTAAACTTAAAATTGGAAAATTTGCATGACTCATCTCACTTTACCTTGACTAAATTATATTTGTTGTTACTAATATTACACAAATGTTATACTTACTTAAGACAGCGCTGTTAATAACACTGGCTATAGTATCTCTCCATACTGGATCTAGTAAACCACGTAGAGGACAATCGTTTGATGTAGGTGATGGATAGGCCAATAAACTAACAGATTGCTAAATAAAATATTTTTTCAACAAAAAATATTAAAATTTAGAAATTCATAATGATGATGATAATTCTTGGCTCAAAACGGATTTATTCAGTTATTACTTAGTGAACTGTCAGAAAAAAATATATCAACACAACATATAAGTATTCCCCATAAAAGTTCTGTTTGAAAAAAAGTCATGGAGGAGAACACATAATATGGCGACTACAGCCACATTAAGTATCAACTCAGATTAGAAGCCAAGATATTTTTTACAGTTTTACGATTGAACGAAAAATAAAATCAATATTCCAGTAAGATTAACATAATTAAAATTCGATATACTAGTATTTCATGGGAAATAAAAAATGGTTGAGAAGAAATTCTCCTAAAGTACAGTTATAAATATAATGGACAAGAAATTTATTCATATGACTAACATAATCCTAATCACATTGTAAATAAAATAAATTCAGGAAGAAAAGTATTTACCGCTGGAGATATTTTTTTCCAACTTTTCTTTCGTACAAAACACTATGACCATAAATAAACAAGAAAGAAAATTTGAATAACTCACTATAAACTAAACTTTATCTTAAAAAGCTTAATAGGAACTTTTATGTGTGAAAGAATTAATGTGCATGTACGAACTAGATGGGATATTTAATATATTACAATAACCACTTACTAGTTATTGATTATTATTATTATTATTATTATTATTATTATTATTATTATTACTATGTTAATAGATTTGGAGTCGTAGTTTGATGGTCACTGAAGTTCCAAGATATTACCTACTTTAAATCTTATGTTACCTATACTTTTGGTGTAGCGGGCACTCGGATAGTAGTAGTATCACAAGTCTTTACATTAAATTATATGTAACATAAGAAATGGCACATATATATATTGACTCAAATTACCATACTACATCAAAACAGAGATGAAATTTTCGAGACAAATTTTAGTGTAGTAGTAGGATAGATTAGGGACAGGACAATATGATACGAGGAAATTCCTTGCAAAAACTGTATGGTTTAAGGTCGAGTACATGAACAAAGTACTAGATGGTTAACAATAACAGTTTTAAACAGACGAGATAAAGCACAAATAGTATATATGTAAAAAAGGTGTATCAATAAAAATTTCAAGTAATAACTGTTGTGACATTTAATTTAAACCATATGAAATCACTTTTGGTAACAATTCAGTCAGTTATCCACAAATCGACTTAAAGCGACCGTTGTTAGAAAAGAGATGATTTGGACCGATTTAGAAAATACAATTTTCAATTCATAAGTGTAAACCTTTTAGTAGACTATTGGTTTGGACTGTATTACACTTTCTTTGATCTAGCAACAACACACATTGTGTAATTGACAAATATTTACCATGATATACTCGCTGGGTTTTTTAACATGATGTATAAATATGTACTTGGGTATGAGACACATCAGATGTGAAGACTAATGATACTACCCAGTAGCCCAAACTGAAGTAGGTGAAGAGCGGTATGCATGGTGTAGCATTTAGAGTAGCTTATCTACTGAGTACAGATTCATAGATTCATTTTCAAATTAAGCTGTTGGCGTATAGCCTAGTGATATTGACGCCTCGATAATTTGACCAGAGTAGCTGAAGCCGGGTTCGAACTCCTCATCTAATTGGTTGAAAGCCAATTGCTTTAGAATCACTAAGCTATTGTTTCACTTGTTTCTAAATACATATTACGTCAGTTTACAACAGATTAGGGACTCAAAACAAAGCAAATTTCTAAATACACTAATAGATAGGTTGATAAGCTGGTTATCGATTAAATTATTGGTGTATAGAGCTGGAACAGGATGGTTTTATTTCATTTTTCATAAACAGTATCATATAAAATATTCAAGAAACAATATGTTCTAGTGCTTTATTCGTTAAACCCAACATTATTTTCTAGAATTGGAAAACATGCCAGTACAGAATGAATTCCACAGTTAAACTCATTTAAGAATCATCAAATAGAGAGTTGAAAATTCTAAGAAGTATTCTGAGATATATTAACGAAAAAAATGGGATAGACTTATTTCAGCCTACTAGACCTACAATCGTATATTTGAGATAAATTATTAAAACACAATTACATGAACAGAAATTTCTCAGGAATGCCTTTGTTTCATCTTCGACCGTATCTAGAGAGCATATGGTTTGGATTCTATGATTCAGTGTTTTGACCAGGTTGCTTTTGTATTGCAGAGAAATAAAGCTAAGAAAGTTTGTATATTCGCCCGTCCAAGTAGTTTTATTGTTTATGTTTCTTGTAGATGTTCGACTTACAAGGAGAAAATACGGGTCATTAAGAAGAAACATAAAAAAGAAAACCACTTGGACGGGCCAATATACAAACTTTCTTAGTTTTATTCTTTTTCAATACAAAAGCAACCTGATCAAGACACTCCATCATAGAATCAAGACCATATGCTCTCTAGATATGGTCGAAGATGAAACAAAGGTATTCTTGAGAAATTTATGTTCAGATAAATTACTCTTTAAAAGTTATTTGAATTTATATCAGGTTATATTTAATCTATATTCTAGTTAAACACTATATGTTTGATGCTGCGTAAATGAGTAAACATTTATAACGATTACTTATAGAGTGCACTAACAAAATAAATCTTTGAATTTGGGAAAATTAAAACATTCACACATTTGATGTAAGAACATAATGAAATGATTATCATTTTGATTATCTAACTAAGATATAACATTTATCAAAATATCAGTACATATGAACTTGAGAAAATAGACAAAACTGAAAATTCAGTTGAATAAGACAATATTTTCCTTAAATCATATTTTAAATAATTGCGTTATTGTATAACTAAGCATATGTAAATAATATTTTTGTAATCGATACTGTGATATTAAGTGTTATACAGATATAACTTTATGGAAATTAATGAAATAGGAGAGTGTAATCTACGTTAATACCCTCAATACGTAATAATTTTAAGCAAAGATTTTTCACCCCAATTTTAGATGACTTATCGTGTAACGCGAAACATTTCTGTCTAAGACACTACGTTTCATTTATGCTTTTTTAAATACATATTCAAATCGGTTAATAAAAACCATTCGAAAGGCTGTAATAGAGTGATTGCAAGCATATACTATTAGTCATCAATGTTTAACGTAAATCTACACAAATAACTGTATTATTTTAAGATTTAAAAACCGTATGTATTTTTTCACAGAAATTATTCTAGAAGCTTTTCAATTGGCTGCTATAGAATTTAACAAAGTTAGATGATTAAGAAGAATGACATAAACTTTCTTGAGTTTAGTAACCATTCTTACAGTTAGTAAATGTAATCAAAAATACTAACTTTTTAAGCAGCTACAAGAAAATCCTGGTGAATAAGTCAGTTGGTTAGTCAATGTGGAACCTAATACGAAAGTGTATTAGCCCATGTCCTCATATTACATCAACACATGATGAAATTAATGTAACAAATAGCAAAGAAGTTTAAATAATGTGGTGAAAAAGACTGACCATTGAGAATATAGTCCGCGAAAATAGTGAAAAGGTATATATGGAGTGCTAAAACCCAAAATACAGAAGATAAGAAGCAAATGCATCTATCCCATGTCACTCATTCTTCAATCGCTAGTCGTAGTTACCGCGCAAATTCCATTTCCGTGGTTTGGATCTACCAACAGTCACGAACTTTATAGATTGCTTTCGTCTTGGTTTTCATGCTCCCAGCTTCTTTCAAACTTACTTCTACAACAGCTGAAACTACACGTCAAGGTGATTGGTGGTTGGTTAGCTTGTATCCCAAACACCTTGACTGATGAAGATTCACAAGGACACCAATCGATCTCCGATCTTAGTCCAGTACCCTATTTTAAACCTCAGAATTGTGTACTCGGTCCCACATTACGCAAGCGATGCTTTGAAAACATCAATGATTAAAATCCTGTAGCCTATACATATCTTTTACTTTGATATGACATGTTTCACAGCTATACGGTTTACTCACAATTTGGTTGAAGGACAGATAAATCATCGCCTACTCCACAAATGAGTTGGTAAAAGCTAGTGGAGCTTTCCGATTATGAGCTAAGATTTCGTCATACATTAACATTACAGGGCTGATGAAACTTGTAAGAAAATTGAATTAGTCAACATACTCAACTACTTCAATCCCTGAAATCAATCTGGGCGATAATTCAGACCAGTGCTGAGGCTACATTTACTACTTGGAGGGAGAGATCATCCTAAATATGCTTTGATTGTTGCTCAAAGTGATCAGAAAACTCCGCATTTTGTAAGCATCTTCATCGAAGAGGACTACATCACATGAGTGTTTCTAAGTCAACGAGTGGATCTTCTGGTAGGAAATTAATTGCTGAGAACTTAGACGATGAGAACGCCACCTCCATAATAATTTCTTTGACAAAAGTGGAGAAAGAGGGCAACCCCGATGAACACTTGAATTTGGCTATTTTGGAAACAATTCACCATAAGCTTTTACTCGACCGATAAAAGTTGAGTAGAGATCCTTCACAAGATTTATTTGCTTCGCTGATGCAGTTTTTAGTGACACAATGCCCCAGAACCTGTTTGTCAACAGTTTAATACCGTCTTAAGGTCAAGAAATACAACCAAATTCGGGCGTCCTTAATAATGATTTTCTAAAACCCGATGAGGGGTAAATATTGATCAGCGCATACATGTCCAGGTCAGGAGTCAGTTTAGTTTCCCCAAGTTCGCTGTTTACGAGCTTTAGATATGTGTCGGATGATTAGAGAGATTAATGTTCAAGATTCTTCATTCATCAAATCTATCATATGGAAGCAACTATAAAAGATATAGAAATAAGTTTGTCATTCCAAGAATCCGACGAAGACACATAGGTTACTGTAAAAACTAAAATTGGTCGAGGAAATGAATGAAAAGCTGAAGTAGGTGAGTAGAGAGAATAATGATAAAGAAAAGCGACTCAATGAATAGATTCTCAACTAATAACCTCACCTGTAGTAAACGTTCAGTTTCTAAAGATAAACCACCTGTTTTTGCTCGAACTTGTCTAACTAAGTTTACAAGCGATCGACCAAATTGAACATGTCTTAGCAAGCATCGCATTTCATCATCAGTGTCCAATTCGGAATTCGCAGATAAATTGAAAGAAACATCTGTTGGCTTAGATGTTGATCCCGCAGAGGACATTCCATTATCGGCATCCATTCCTGAAGGTACATATGACCCATTACTAGACAGTTTGGATTTTGAATTGGTATGGGGCAAAAGAATGTCAATACACACACCTGTATCATCATCAACTCCAAAACCGTCGTCATCCTCTTCGTCTTCAACATCAGCCGTTTCCAAATCATCATCAAGTTCTGTAAACAGATTGCAATCCTGATCTACTTTGGTTTTTTGTCCCACCACTTTAACTGCATTTTCTAGAGAAGGCGCTTTGAGTACGTTTTCTGAATCTACATCCATTGACAAGGGCGGTAGGCCATTCTCAACTGTCTAAAGCAAAGATTACATGGATAAAAAATTTACAAAAGGAACTTTGCAGGGGAAAAGTATATGATAAAAGGAAATAATAAACGATTAGTTACCTACTTTATACTCAGCAAGTAAATGTCCAAAACCTAGAAAGTAATAAGTCAGGTATAGATCAGCTCTACAAATTGATTATAAATGTATCTGTGGAGTAACGATTTTTATGTAATCTATATGGGGATGATGTCCCCTATTCGAAAATCCTTCCACAAATTAAACTTCACAGATAGCACGAATGTTGCTAAATCCTAGTATTTGGAACACCATGAGTAGTCAGGAAATAAACTTTTGGATGTGTTTCTCGTTTCGATAAATGATTCTGCAGGACAACTAGGCGTTGATGATTACAACAACAATAGAAAGTAGAGTTAGATTTCCTAGCTATGTGTTAAGAAAGCTTAAACATAGCTTACCTAAACGTGGTATTTCGGTTAGAGTACGAATAAGTTGTCAAAAGATTAGTAGCAGTCAACTAATATCAACGATTATAGATAATGACTGGTGGTCTGAATCCTATGATGATAAATCTACCTATTGCCACCGGCCATACTGTAAACGACTTATTACTCTATAAATTATCTTTCACGTATTTACTACTTCCTTTAGCTTCTCACTAACGTTAGTGGCGACTTAGAGTGATACATAGAGACTAATCCTACAAGGTGTGATGTTTTCTTGTCAGTAGCGTTTCTGTACTAATCGCAATTAAAGCAGAGTAATTTAAGTGACATAAGAATCATAAATGTTCTATGTAAAAGATTTTTGATAATTAAACAGCTTTAATCTTCAATGGAAAACTGTTTTAGGTTATACTGAACATAAACTTTATATATTTCTTAATAAAGAAATTTTTCGCTGTCACGCTTGTGTCATTTAGGATCAAAAGAATAATTAAAAAACGATTTTATTCAGAGATTTAACACAAAATAAACATACCATCTGAACAGAACTAGAGGTATCTTGAGATAACTTATCCGGTTTATTAGTTACACAACACCCTGAACCAACATGAAGAGACCCAGACACTCTCTGAACTTTTGGCGGAGCTGTAGTTGAATTGGAATCGTTTAAATCACTTCCTGAGTTGGATGTATGACTACGACCACGTCTGACAGCATGACGACGCATCTGGACAGAAATTATTGATGAAGATTACTTGATACATGATAAAAAGTGGATAGTTTTTCTCCTAAAAATCTCGAGTGAATTAATTAATAACTGGAATAATTTATTGGAAATTGAATCCAAGCTTTTTGATGATCAGGGAAGTAATCTGAATTTAGTGGTTATAGAATACTGAATCAAAGGCAAGTTTATCCGTGATTTGGTAAACCAGAAAGGTAAGGTTAAGAAATCTTAAACCTATTTAAACTGTAACAAAATATCTGTAGCTAAGAACAGCTCTTCCAGCCGTCACAGTTTATAAATGAAAAAACTCTAAACTGTTGATTAAGTTAACTACACCGTGAATTACTGATACTTCAAAATCATATTAAAGGATAAATAACGTAATTGAAATAAATACAGAAAGTGTGACAGGATGAATAATAACAATATTGTTTGTATTTATGTATTTATAATATGAAAATACTATAAGGTACTAAGGTATGTACCATACGAAGTAATTTTACGGAGAGAATATAGAAAACTTTTTGATAAACCTGAGAAGAGTCTGTATCAGAGCATACAATAAAAATAAGAACAAAAGCCTTTACCCATACCAAAAGTGAATTTTACTGCTGATGGAAAAAATAGAAAAATACAGTCAGATAGCAACCGTTTTTATGTCTGATCAAGTCTAAAGCTACTGATTTGTAAAATTACTAAGAATAACCGATTAGTCCTGATAAAATAATTTGCGCCAATTTACAATAATTGTACCTCAATACTGTATAAGTTCTTTTATTCAATTTGTTATTGATACAGGTGATTAAAATCTAACGCAAGATTCTATTCTAATTTGTATAACAATCTCGATTCTCTATAAGGAGTTTGGAAGAATATTTAGATGAACAAAATACACTATTTTATACAAGAAAGGTTAGTAGCATATACTTCTACGGATTTTTATTAAAATCATTCAAGACGATGACACCTACTCCCTTTGAGTCAGTGGAAAGGTCTAGTTTTCAAAGCGGGTAGGGAAAGTTATGGGCTTAGGACATTAAGGTTTCTGTAAATAGAATGAACTGTATTTAACGTAAAAATAGAAACGTAAAATTACCATTTCAATTAACTGCCGACAACGAAGCTGAACTAGTAGTTCTGGACAACGCTCAAGAACTTGGGGATAGAAGCGATTTAGAGTAGCAGCAGCTCTCCCATATTGGCATCGTCGGCACAATGCTCGCAATCGTCTTCGGTGCAGCATGCTTGCAATGCCAGGGAGTTGACCTAAATGAGATTTCGTAATTTCTGGAGCTAAACAAGAACTATCACTATGACGGCGCTGGAGTACAGAAGGATTAGACTCCTTGTACGTTACATCCGAATTTACATCAACATTCGTTTCGGATGAACTAGATACTAAATTTGACCGACTCGATATCTTTTCATTGAAAATCTGTATTTGATCTTTTTGAAATTCTGAATTCTGAACAGAGGATGCGAGGTTGGACCAATAAGAAAATGCTTTGGCTGTTGCAACGTAACCATGATGAACGAGGTATCCAGATACAAGCCTGTGATTGAGAATGAAAACAATCTTAATATATAGTAAGCTACCGACACAATCTAAAAATTAACGCGAAATGAATATGCCTATTAATTAATATATTGACTGAGGATTATCTATCAGGTGCTAGAATGTATTTCCAAATACTATTATTACCCATACCACATCATTGAACATATTGAGTTTTGTACGCACAAAACTACAAAAGACCAATTTCCAAAGGTATATAATAAACGTTAAGTTGGTGATTTAAAATCACCAACCTGGGATCTTCAAAATCATCACCCAAAGTCATCTTACTGTATCGTCAATTACTTCTGCCAACCGAAAGACCTTGACATACTTCATGAAAAACACTTACAGAACATCCTAAGCGAAACGAAATGTTAGTTATGTAGTTTATAGCTAACATGGGTTTGTAAGCGATCAGTAATAAATTAACTGCCTTTCGAACACACGATATAATGCTTTCCTATGTTTGATGCGAATGTCAAGAATATTCATAAAAATGGATAGTTATATTCAATCACTGAGCGATAAGGAACTAAGGAATAAGTGGTGTGTCTACCAGCCGAACTCGGTGAGTCCCAACGGAGAGTGGTCGCTTAGTACTTAAGGAGTTCGACTTCCGACCACTCTTTACTTACTTAAGGTTGGAAAACGGAATAATATCATTAGAGTTTGGATCATACCTAAGTAACTGAAGAATGAATTAACATCGGTTCGAGTTTTCAGACCACATACATTAACAATTATCAAGACAAATCCCAGAGCAAGGAGTAGTAATAGTATCAGTGCCAGTAGAAAAGATAAGGTGTATACAAGAAAATGAAATTTGAGGCTTAGGTTCTAAGGAAAGACAAAGATTGGGTGTACCTGCAGCATTTCGATTGACTCTGAGCCATATTACCCAATGTTTTAACCACTAGTTATGAAAACTGCGTGGGCCACAATTAGGTAGTTTGCGTTTACCAACATGGCTCAGTCTAACTGACAATTAGTTCATGGACCGATGCCACTTCTTCTTTAGACGCCACTAACTTTTTCACAGCCTACTCCTACACCAGACGAAATCGCCCATCTATGATAAACATTGGTTTTTAGAGAGAAAACTACTTACATCTATTTTAATCGGCATTTATATTTGCAAAACCAGAATATTTTTTAGTGGTCCTCAGCGTAACACTATCTTTAGATCATTTTTACTACTTCTTAGTCATATAAAATTAGAATTGTTATGAAAATCATTGTTTTTATTTAACACGATGATGATGACTTACTCTTTTATTTTTATTCCAGCAAAATCTTCTTTACATGTACGCTCAATCAGTTTGTTTTCACGAGATATGCGTTCCGTCTTAAGATGGTTTTCAAAAGCAAAATAAAAAGGATGTTGTCCAAAATTGGTAGTTACTCGAACTCCACGACCCTGTAGCCCTATAGTGGGAAACAAACGTGTACCAGCACCAACCTAAAAATGTTAAAATAAATAACTTTTGAGAAAATTCGACACAATGATCACTAGATCAATACCTTATGGTACAGTGATTTACTGAGTAACAGCAACACTAATTTTCAAACTTCACATTGTTTTGTTAACAATAATCTGTACTGATACGTATGTTCCAAACCAAACAGAATAAAACGAAGACAACAGAGACGCCTAACCTTGTGGATAACTCTTAACTCAGCCAGTCACAAAGTACAACCTGGTACGTATATACATCGGTTCAAGTTTCCATACCTCATTACCACAGAGACGAAATGGTCAGGCCAAATCCCAGAATAGTAGAGACAGTAACAATATCAATAGTAATAGAAAAGATTGGTCATCGACAATTTGATTGAAGAAAATATGGATTAGTGAAATAAAAACAAAGGAATTTATGAGATAAAGAACCGAAACCGTAACGTCTTGAGGAAATACTTCTGACTAGTTTGACTTTTTACCTAGACAGTTAGTGAAAATCTCTAGTTTCAAAATAGTTTGATCAAAAAATGATATCAGAAGGAGAATTGTCGGAAAGCAAGCAGCACTAATAGTTGTGTAGTTTGTGGTGCATAGCCATGAACCCACACAGAGCGGTGTTGCACTTCGGATGGGTCTACTCTTTATCTTTATTAACATCCCGAACTACCTATCACTTTGCACACTTGCTGTTTTACTTCGTTTATTTGTTTTAGGTAGATCCTTTGTTCTGCTGATGAAACTTGTTGCAACTGTATAAAATATTAGACTTCGTGATCTACTTTCTAATTTACACAAAACAATGTAAGAACTTATAAATAATAACTTAGTCCACTTTTTGAGTATCATGCTGCATGTGTAGTTCAGTATATTGTGAGAAGTAAAAAGTTTTTATTGTTTAACGTCTACAATACACAACTTACTGGAACTTTTCCTTCAAAAGCTTTACCTAAAAAGATGCCATTGCGAGTGAAGAACAAGCTTTGTGAAAGGAAATCAACACCACAACCAATGATATCGTTTTCATTGAAGCGAGGACCGAACTTTGTTGATAATGTGGGTGAGCCATGATAAACACAACCATCTGATTGGTAGCCAAATGAATTGTTTTCAGAACCTGAAATTGAAAAACTCAGTAAGCGCCAGCTTTTAGTAAGGAAAAAATAAGCTAAGGAACTCGCGGAAGCGCTAATCACTTTATGTACCCTACACTAGGTGATTCAGGCGTATGTGAATAAATGATGAGAAACAGAAAAAGACAGATACCAAGCAAAACGTTATTTGTAGTAACATTAACAATACCAGTATTATTACTGTGACAAAAAGGTGGTACAGTAGATCAAACGATGAGTAGGAGCGTTGACACATTTGAGCAAATTATCCCCGGAAAAACATGAATTTAAATTATCGTTGGTCATCATGCCGTTCACTAATAACAGGAGTTGATGCCTAAGTGGATTTACGGCATTTTACAGTAAATATAAATCTAAAGTAAAAAGAACAATTAACAAGGAATCAGATGGGAATATGACCACGAAAAAAAGAGAACAATTAGCGCTTCGGTTATATGGCACACTATTTGGATGTGTACTTATGCTTCGCAAAACTAAATTAGTGCTTTTAGTGGGGTCAAATACTAATTGGAAACTGTCCGACTGTAAAATTTAAGCAACGCCAGATCTACTTTTTTAAATAAAATAGGTATCTTAGGGGTCATATTTGAAATGTTTTTTGATAAGGCTTATGAATTGGTGAAAGAAAAGGGTTTCTATATAAAAAGGGCACAGCAGTAATATTAAGCTTTTAGACATGTGTAGGATTGTATCAATAACTACCAAGATATGGGTTTAATTCTGAGACAAAAAATAACCACATTGTCTTTGTCTAAATTCGTCTTCTATTTATGGATCATACAATTTCGAAGCACATATTTTGAAACACATCTACGGTGCATAATAACTTTGATTATGCTAGAAATATTGTTTGACTCACGCTTATTTAGGACGTAGTGTACTTTGCGGAATTTTCCAAAGTTGTCAATGAGATGTTAGGATTATACACACAGAACTAGAACAATAGTGAAGCTAAGTTTTAGGTTTTTGATTGGACATTCCCTTGCATTTGTAAGAAGAGGTGAAAAGCTTTACGATAGGTTTCCTTGAACCTCGTGGCAAGAATTGAAGTACGTAGGGAGGGATGCGTTAGCAAGCTAAATAATCCTTCCTGATATTACAGTATTCAAATGCGATTTAGGTTATTTGAATTGACTGGATGTACGTCCAATAAAAATGCCTTTTCCTTGAAAACAGTTAAGCATACCTACACGACTATTCAGAATATAGCATCTGATCATTAACAAGAAGACTTCCTTCAGCGGTACTAATAAACCCATTGTGAACACCGAATTTAATTGCTTCGATGGAATTATCCCTACTAAAGTGAGACCACTTCTAATTACTGGAGTCTGAAATCCATTTATCTGGAAAGGAATTTTCGATTCAACACCATTGACAGAGACAATTCAGTAGGCAGGTTATACTTAAATAAGTGAGATGTAGCAGCGAGGTATTAGTTATGCCACGTAATCCAGTAACTGCATACAAAAATGACTTTATGGTGCAACTTAAGCCTTTCAGTTTCAATGTGAATAAGAACCACATTCAACTTCGTTACGGAGCATACACTTCAAAGCCGTTAACGATTTTCGAAAAACACTCCCATAAGTAGTCCTGTTCTATTACATGAACTACATGAAAAAGATAGTTGGGTAATAGATTTGGCAGTGAAGTAGTAGTGATACTGAAAATTAACGTGAAATACTGAATTAAATTGGACAGAACAAGCAAACTGCTGACATACCCGGAAATTTATTGAGGCTAGAATTCTTCATTGAGACCCCAACAGACAGACAACTAGGAAGAAACCCAGGAGTGAAAGATAATAGCCAATTACCCATTAGAACCCTTGTTAAGCAGCGTTATTTCGAAGTAATATATTCCAGTTGTCAGAGGAATAGATGCATCTGAACGGACACAAGCTGCTTCCTGACCACTATAACTACTATCTGAAAGTAAAAATAACCTATTCTGAATTTCAAAAGACCATTGCGTTCATTAAATCCGCTACTAAAAGACACAGTAAGTGCGAAATGAGATAATCTCAATGATCGCGATCGATCCTTAACATTCCAACACCTAGGTAATTTCTGGAAATCTGGCGACAAATAACTGCTTTTATAAAATTTTAGCCAGAAGCTATCAAAATCCTTCGTTAGTTTATCATATCCATTTGGGAGCGCCATTTTGACACAGACAGCTGATCTCGGTAAAAGGCGCCAAATGAGTTTACCACTGGTACGTAATTTGAAAATTCGTACCTAGCATGATAAAATAGCTAACCGCAATTTTTCATTCTTTTATGTATTATTACGAAATTGAATATTTTACGAAATTTTACCAAATTTTTATTGTAATCTGTGCTCTGTTATCATCCGTAGGCCATTACTTTAACCCTATTTTTTAAACAGAAACACTGCTTGAATTCCATTTTGAAAATTTTTTCTAGTTAGAATTTTTCCAACTAATCGTTTCATTCTTGGGCTTGTTGTGAAACTCACATATCTCCAAACGACGTGTTCACAATTTCGGTTGATATTATTGAAGTGATAATAAATCTTATTACACCCTATAAAAACATCCACCTGATTTCGAACTTTTGGTTTTGCTTTTTTAGGTACGAGGTGGGACTCTTGTTTGTGATGATTGATGAAAACTGGTAAATCATTGATAAACAGTAATAGTTACCAGATGAGATGAACCATATAAATTGGAATGTAGATGGTTGAATTCTGTAAGTTGTAGTTGCACCTGGTCGGAATGAGCAGCGAAAGGTGAAAGTACTGAGCTAAACTTCTCATAGCAGTTGATTTAATGTGTCTCGGAATTTACTTCTTCCATCAATTCCGCGCATCGTTAACCAGTATGAAGCAACGAAACCAGTTTTTGGTGATTAATTTAGTGGCTCATATGCGGAGATGTATGAGGGTGGGAGAGCTCTGTTTTTACTTGAAATGCATTGTGCCTTGCCAGCACTGAACAAAAACCTTACGCCATAGAATATCTCGACTCCCTTGAAGGTTTGGGTAGATAATTCCACTCAGCTCAGGAGACAAGAACCACTGAACTTCTTCCACAGGAACATTGACTGTCGACGATGTAGTTGCAAAAAAGGATTAGAGGAAAAGAAAACCAGTCATTTTGCTTTCGGGTGAGTTTTGGTACCATGCTTAATGCTCTAAAAGATTGCACACTCATTCACAGATTGACAACGCTTTTACACACGAAAGTCTTTGACTGAAGTATACCAACTCAGTCAAATAAGAAACAGGGAATGAATGAATTCGAAGATACATATGGAAAACTATTTGTCGAGAAGTGTTTGGTCTAAGCTGACTATTAGTTTCAAAGGATACGTAGCACAGCGTACCCACTCGTAATCTGGTGTAGATGCATGACCAGTCACCTTAAGCCAGGTGTGTCCAGTAAAACTAACGGGGTCAGCATCACTGTCCAGGACATACATAGGTATTTATTCTGGGGATTTATTCACAACTACAGCTCACTCCCCCCTAGTGGGCTAGAGATGACCCCGAAATGTGGTCATCAAGACGTATAAACCCAACGAGCCTGTCGTTTATAAACTTTCCCCTTATATATTATGTTCGGTAGCGTCTGATCGTCTTTCCTCATTATGAGAGGCCATGCATTAAGACGTAAAAATGACAAAAGCGTACGATGAAAATTTCCATTCATTGCGAACTTGACAGATTTTTCATATTTTCCAGCCGTTCAGTCAAAGAAGAGAAGATATTGTAAGCGCATGTTGAACTACACTCGTTTGTCACAAAACGGGCGTAAAAAAAAGAGAAAACTATCTACGTGTGTATGGATAACATGCATTAGTATGAAAAAGTTCTACGCAATGATATATCTGGATTTCTTAAAGGAAGGGAATGTACACATATATGAGCCTATGAGAAAAAATATTTCTGTATTTTTGTCACAAATACACAAATGAATGAAATAAAATGGAGTGTAATGCGGAGTTCAACACATAGTGGTCATTTAAATGTTCCACAAACTCAACCTTTCTTCGGTGGAGCATCGCTTTCGGTCGATTTTCAGTAACTGGTGAAGTTTCGCTGTGATTGTTCTTTGTCGGAGGGGCATCGCAATTGCTGGACTCTTGTCGTCCAAATTTTACAAAAAGAAAACCAATATAATAGGGTCTTGCTAATAAATATGTGACTTCAGGACAGTCAGTGCTGAAATTATCGTTTTTTCCGTTCTTATCCATAATACGGTATTTAGATTTGCGACTAATATTTGAAAAGTCCTTCGTATACCGTTTTGTGGAGGTCGTCGTAATGAATCGAGACGTAAAAAAACGTGTGTAATTTATCATAAGGCTGGTCATATGAAAACTCCAGTTGACTACGGTTGAGTGGAAACTGGTTTCACTGGATGTATTGCGTTTGTAAGCTTGCACGTGTAAGGGTTTAAATCCATATTCGTTGGATATGAAGAATCCACAAACTATCATGGAAGTCAGACTGTCATTCTGCAAACGAGTTGTGCTTCAGTGTATGCATTGTTAGCTTTCACTGCATTGCTAATTCCGGGTAACAAGAACGGTAGCGCTTCGGTCTCTAAAACGTTTGCAGCTTAAAGTAAAACTTTTGTATGTTAGTGAAATCGTTCTTCCAAAACGCTTGCTTGTGGCGATAGTCTTTCGTTTAATTACTAATTGTGTAGCAAGAAAATTGAAAGGTCCAGATTTGAACTGGTGTCCACTGTCTGTAGTGATAGTTGTAGGACAGCTGAAGTTTGCCAGTCATCGTACGACGAATGCATGGGCCACTCTTTCAGTAGTAATTTTTATGTAAATATTTCTCTTTATGAATTTAAATGAAGCAAGAACAAATATTCTGCACCAGCAATTTTTTAATTGGTATTGCTTCTACCCATCTTGTGAAATGGACCAGACACCTTTAGTGGTAACAGTGTCCGTTTGAATATGGTAGGGGTCCTATCAAATCAGTATGAACATTGTCGGGAGTCGCTAAATAGTCTCTAAGATATTTGTCTCGTCTAATCACCTTAGGTTTCAGAAAGTTAACATAGTAGTGTGCCGATTGTCTCATGAATTTATTCAGGCCAGCAAAATCGTTCTGCCATGTGTAAGATCCATTTTGAATGTTTTGTGTGTTGGTGAAAATCCCTCCATGTATATACTTGTACTTTGTTCCTATTGATCCCCTTAGTTGTACATTGTTGTATTTTGGTTACATTTAAATTGTTAATACTTGTATTTTTTATTATAGTTTTGTTTTTATTACGCATTCACTAAGTTTGTGTTTCTTCCTGAACTGCATCTGTGTTGTTTTACTTGACACTTGTTCTTGGCGGTAGCCATATTGATTTGTTCCTCCTGTTGTGTGTGATCTATCCAGTCAGGATAGAATAACGTTCATTTGTTGTAACTGGTAATTTTTCCTCATCTTCTATCAACTTCTTTATTTATTGTAATTTAGATTTGATTGGTTGAACAATCATTGGTTGAATAGCCGGGTGGTAATATTTGTTTAGGTAACGATTTACATTTAAATTTATGATGAATTATAGAACCGCTATTTACCCGATTACTTGTTTTGATTTCGACGGGAAAGGACGCGTGTCTAAAGTCCCCGGTCGGCTATTCTTCAACATCCAAACCGTAGTTTGGATTCTACACCATGTGCTTGATGATTACTCGAACACCTGGGTTTATTTGCCGATACACCTTCGTAGTTTCTGCTGAAACCTTATTTCACATGCAAGCTTCTCTTACCGACAACAAAATATTTTTCTAGAAATTTTACATGATAGACTGTCTTCCATCATTGCCGAAACCAACTGCCTTCAATGACTTCAACATAATATACACTGTAGATCCTATGGGACTCGTGAAAACTGGTGTTGGTGAACTTGAAATTTATTACTGAATAAACTGAAACAGTGAACGAAATGTTTATAGAGGGCGGCTGCTAGAGATAAAACTAAGATGTGTACATTCGTTTCATGATGACTACAAACTGAGGTCAGTAGGAAAAAACAAGCCTTGATATATACATTCTGAGAAATCTTTCATGATAGATAGAACACGATTTAATGTACTGCAAGAGTATACTAACGTTCGATCATGGGTGATTGGGGATTATGCGAATTCCTGCGACATTTTCAAAATTCAGTTGGTAACAGCAGGTGGGTGAAACATACGTAAATTTAAGTTCATTCACGTTATGTCCAGTAACCACATGATGAACTTCATTTACACTGCTAACTTCGCCTGACGCGTGTCGCAGAAAGGTTTATTAGTAATGACTTTATTCTACATTGTATGTTTGGTGCGACATGAAACTTGATAAGCCCTAAGTAAACAATCTTGCTGAATGCTTTGATGAAACCTAAGAATATCATACAGAAAGTCTATAGTCTTGAACTACTGTCGAATCCTTACATGGAAGTCACATCATTGTCTACACTGACTCGTCCTGTCGTGTGATCAATAGTATGAAGTCTAGAGTTTCTGAAAAACATTTGGGCTCTGAAGAGAGTAATATATCTGATACAAAAGGCGAGAGATTTTAGCAACTTAGATTAAATGGTTAGGAGTTGACCAAAAGTATCCAAGTAAATGTCGGGACATTGAAGTATTCATTCACTAACTTTGATTATATTTCCTACGATTTTATATTGAACGTTGAGAAGCTTTGTATTCTTGAAAAGGCAACCTACTGCTCCACTGTGTACTGTCATACGATCTAAATAGAGACCTATTCGCTACTAATCTGGCTTCTTCTATCAACAGAGCAAGAGGTACTCACGAGAACGAAGTTGGTATGCCTGACGTGATTAATAATAAGAAAGGAAAAACAAGGGCATTGGGAGTTCGAGAATCGAACAGACTTCTAAGGGTCGGCTCCATAATAGTAGTCTTAAAGAATAACCATTTGATTGGCTTGATCTAAGTATCCATGTTATAGAGAAGCTTTATTTCCTAAAGTCACCCAGGAAAAGAATTAGTTCGCACTTTACAAGTGCTCAAGCTCTATTGGTCATGAGTATCTCTAATAACCAACCAATGTAATAAAATACTTCAGTAACGCCCACAACGAGCCGGTAATGTAGATTTTCGAGTGCGTGGTCCAGCACTCAAGAGGCGGTGGTTTGAGTGCGTGAGGAGGCAGTACTTTTATTCGAAAAGCTCACATTTACACGATGTTCACTGTCTGTAAGGCACTCAGACATGAGGAAAAAGTAAAATGGTTT